GTGTCAGTGCTGACTTGATGGACAATAAGAACAACAATGCCTCCTAGGGAAATTGTACTCTAAGGGCACGGCTGAAGATAGTGGAGGCTTTCTCATAGCTCACCTTGATCTCTCCATTGCATTCCTTTCTTTAGATGATTAAAATTTTATTTTACAGAGCATGTCGATTCAGAATAAGATTTAGTATCAAGATGTAACATCTACAGAGGGATTCAGCGGAAAAGCCCATTCCTAAATACTACATTCCTAAATTTAATATAAATTGGCTTTTATATTATGGCTATATATAACCACTACATATCTCTTGAAAATCTCATACAGACTACACCATGATGGACAGAACAAGGAAAAGTTCTCATGTTCAGTTACTGGTATCTCTAAAAAGAATGGGGAAATCCTCTTTTTAGAAACTAATCAAGCTGGTTTGCACTGCCAAACATGAAAACAACTTGATTAGTTTAAACAAAGCCAAACAGCATGTATCAGTAGTCAACCTTGATAGCTTTCCTTGTTCCAATCATTATTTCTTCTTTTGAAAAACTCTAAAATATTATTGTGGTTTGAGTGCTTTTTCTGCTTGCCCCAAATTCCTGCATTATCACAGCATTCTCAAAGCCATTCATTTTTAATCGTAATGAAACATGCCAAATTCCCACCTTTACTAATTGTAACTTTATGAAATTTCAGCTTTATTCTTTGGCCTGCCCCAAATGGCCAAACATGGATTTAAGAAGAAATTTTTTACTGCCTGTTAAGGAAGGGAAAAATAGATGCACTTTGGGATGAAAAATAAGAGAGTGAATATAGGGGGAAAGTTTAGGATCACACATAACCATCAAATGTGAGCAGGCAGCACTTCAAAAGTGGGTAATAATTAATTATTACACATAAACATACTTTAAGGTTGTTCAACAGACAATGACTAATTTGTAATTATGGTATAGAATTCCATGTTCTGCTTGCTGACTTGAAACTCAGGGTCTGTCAGCTGGAATCAGCTGCAAAATGTTGACCGGGGGGGGGGGGGCTATAAAACTTTGAATCAGATCAAGAATTTGTTTTCAATCTCAGAACTGAAGTTGTAGTCTTCTCACATACTGCACCTCTGAACTCTAAGCTTTCATCTTTTCAGCAGGCTAATTTAGAGGGCAGACTCAAGAGAAGTCTGATTATTGTACCTTTTGTGAAATATCCAGGAGTCAGAAAGGCCTTACAGATCCACTGCTATACATTCAGAGATCTATCAGTAGATCCCCATGTATTTTCTACCTATTACTGCTATAACAGTGGAAAGTATTACCTGCTGAATAGTAACAGTAATATAATTTTTAATAGATCTGGATATTAACTCTAAAACAAAAGCTTTCTGAAGCATTACCTTCAGAAGGACTTAGGAAAAGTCTAATCCTGATCAGAGGGATTCACTCTAACAAAATCATTGATTTTTTTTGTATATACACTTCTGCTAAGAAAATGGAGAGATGCCAGGAATTAAGTATTGCTTTTTACACAACATGCCTCAAATCTATTCTATCCTCTCTCTTTCTTTCTCCGCCCCACAAAAGGCGCCTTTTTTCAAGAGGCAGTTGCCTGAATGACTGAGAATCTCCTCTGTGTGTGTGTGTGTGTGTGTGTGTGTGTGTGTGTGTGTGTGAGAGAGAGAGAGAGAGAGAGAGAGAGAGAGAGAGAGAGAGAGA